ATTGTGTTCCTCTTTAAAATTTTTTAAAAATTATTTTATTTTTATTTTATGTGTATGTGTCTTGCCTGCATGTATGAAAGTTCACCATGTGCATATAATACCCACGGTGGCCAGAAGCACAGAGGACAGTGCTGGATCCCCTGGAGCTGGAGTTAAGGATGGTTGTTAGCCACCATGTGGGTACTGAGAACCAAGCCTGTGCCCTCTGCAAGGGCAGCCAGTGCTCTTAACCACTGAAACATCTCTCTAGGCCCCCCCCCTTTTTCTGAGACAGAATCTCCTATGTAGACCAGTCTGGCCTCAAACTCACAGAGATCCACCGGCCTCTACCTCCCATATGCTGGGACTACAGGCGTGCACCACCATGCTCAGCTGTTTTTGTTTTTATAACAGTGCTGGCAATTGAATCAGGGCATTAATACATACTAGGCAAGTGCTTTACCACTGAGCTATGTCCTAAGCCAGAGAAAGACATACTTTATTGTTGCTGTTTGCATCAAACCTAAAAGCTTATGCTAGCAAGAAAAGGCCTTTCATTACATGACACTCCTTACCTCATCTGTCCCTACTGGATAAAGCCCTTACTTTTCAGCTGAGTTGGTCACATCCATTTTCCCCTTCCTGTCTCTGTTCTTGTTGGTCCCTCCATCTGGAAGGGCAGAGAGGGAAGAATAATACATGTCCATTATTTCCTTCAAGACCAAGCTCTGCTTTTATGTTTTATCAGCATGAATACAAAGACTTTCTAAAATCTTATACTTTCATTATGTTCCCCTGCTTACACATAGATGTTTCTCTTTTCTATATAACTCCATAGTTATGAACACATTATATGAAGCACACTTATCTATTGTTTGTAAGTGGAATAGAATCTCAGAAGACAAAGAATTAATGAATCAGGGCCCTTCTAATTTAGTGCTATGTCAATCCCCAAACTCTTCCCCTCCATTTTCTTTTAGTCTGCAATCTCCCACCTTCAAACCTAATTAATATAAGGACTAAATCTGGGGATAAAAAGACAACACAGTTTGTACTTTCGGTTTTGGATTTTTTTTCAATTCATTTCCATAAAAACATAATATAAAAGGGAATGCCACCATCTTCCCCTCCTGGGGGTGCTCCATCAAGTTGGTCTGGGCTGCTCCAGTGATTCATAGCTCATCATGAGATCTGTGCAGGGCATGGTCACATAGATCTGAAAACAGTACATAACATTTTGAAGGAAACTGCCACTCTCAATATGCACACATACCTATCTTAAGAAAATACCTCAGCTGTGCATGGTGGCACACGCCTTTAATCCCAGCACTCGGGAGGCAGAGGCAGGCAGATCTCTGTGAGTTCAAGGCCAGCCTGGTCTACATAGTGAGTTTCAGGGCAGCTGGGGCTACAGGGAGACCCTGTCTCAAAAAGACCAAAAACAAACAAACAAACAAACAAAAAACCTCAAGTCAAACTAACACCAACCACCATTCTTTTTTGCAAAAAAACATTTTTTTTTTTTTAATGTGTATGAGTGCATGCATGTAAGTGCACCCATGTTGTGCAATGCCCTCGGAGGTCAAAAGAGGGTGTCAGATCCCCTGGAACTAGAATTAAGGACAGTTGTTAGCTGCTATATGGGTGCTGGGAATCGAACATGGGTCCTCTGCAAGTGTAGTCAGTACTCTTAACCACTGAGCCATCTCTCCAGCCCCCAACCACCATTCTTTCAAAGCATATGCTTGTAAATGACAAAGTATCTCCCACTGCCCTCTCTCCTGTATCATAAGATAAGGAGACATAGATTCTGAAAGCTGACAGAGAATAGAGAGGAATTACCCAAATCCCTAAGCCAAGGGAAATGGAAGCCAATTATGGAGTAATTATGAGAGCACTGAGAGTGTAAGAGTGTAAGCTCACACTCTTATGTAAGTAGGTGTGGTGTGCTGGTGGGTAGACCAGGACACACAAGGTTGTTGAGAACAGGAGGTGAAAGCGGGAGTAGCTTACCTGTTCTCTTACTGCATAGTTTGTCTTTAACATTGTCGGCCTCTCGGGAAAAGAATTCAATAAGTTCATCCTCATATTCTTCCACAATGCTCTCACACTGTCAACCCAAGGGAGAAACAACTAACACAGGGCAGTAAGAAGCCTCTTGTCCACCCCTCTAGAGAAGGCAAGGACACTGACCCAATTCTTTACTTGGATTTGATTTTCTGGGGTTTTTTTTTATTATTTTTTTTTTATTTTATGTGAATCTGTGTATTGCCTGCATGCAGGTAAGTGCACCCGTGTCATGCAATGCCCATGGAGGTCAGAAGAGGCTGTCAGATCCTCTGGGACTGGAGTTACAGACAGTTGTTAGCTGCCATGTGAGTGCTGGGATTCAATCCCTGGTCTTCTGAAAGAACAACCACTGTTCTTAACTACTGAGCCATCTCTCCAGCCCCTTGATTTTCTGTTTTTATAGATGAGAGTTTTGTTATATAGCCCTAGCTGGCCTGGATCTCACTATGTACACCAGGATGGCCTCAAACTTGTGGTGACCCGTCTCTTTGTCCCGAGTGTTGAAATCACAGGCATGCAACACCATCTTTGTTTCTAATTCTACTTGGGCTCAACAATTCCTATTAATTTCTAAGTACCAGCTACCCATAGCTATAACTCACCGCAAATTTGAGGGTACCACTGATATCTGAATCAATTCGGATGCCTTGTAGGTCCAGTTCACTGGATTCTCCGTTCCGGCCCACAACACGTACGTAGTTCTTGCGGTGAGTAGAAGGGTCAATCTGTTCCCCATACTCCTTCATGCGGTCACACACCTCCTCTAGCAGCTCTGTGAGGTGGGCCTCTGATCGGGCATAAGGCACCTAGAAATGTACTCAGCCTTGGGTCACTCTCTTCTACCTCATTTAATAATGTGCATCCTATTTTTACTTTCAAATCTAGAACTCATTCTAAAAAGAAATCTCCCCCCAGCCAGATGTGGTGGCACATGCCTTTAATCCCAGCACTTGGGAGGCAGAGGCAGGTGGATCTCTATGAGTTTAAGGCCAGCCTGGTCTACATAGTGAGTTCCAGGTCAGCTGGGGCTATAGGGAGACCCTGACTCAAAAAGATCAAAAAAGAAAAAAAAAACTCCCCCAATTAGAGTCTGTTACAGTTTCAAAGTCTGTTCATCCATCCTTCCTTTCTAAAATTACTTTCAAATGTACATTTTTATTTTGCTTGATTATAAAACTCCAAAAAATAGGACAGGCACTATTAGCTTCAAATTACAAGCAGAGACATAGCTGATTGTAATAAACTATATTCTTTTCTTTTTTTTTTCGGTCTTTTTGAGACAGGGTCTCCGTATAGCCCCAGCTGTCCTGGAACTATGTAGACCAGGCTGGCCTTGAACTCACAGAGATCCGCCTGCCTCTGCCTCCTGAGTGCTGGGACTACAGGCGTGCGCCACCACACCTGGCTGTTCTTTTCCTTTGAACTCCCTTAGTTCTTGTAGACATGGGCATTTCCTATTTATTTTATTTTGGTCTTTTTGAGACAGGGTCTCCCCATAGCCCCAGCTGGCCTGGAACTCATTATGTAGACCAGGCTGGCCTCGAAATTCACAGAACTCACAGAGATCCACCTGCCTCTGCCTCCCAAGTGCTGGGATAAAGTGTGGGCCACCATGCCTGGCATGTGTGTATCGTGTTTCTAACTAAAATAAATTTCTTGATAACAAGGATAAGACTTTTTGAGTTCTGGAATTATAGGTGTGTACCACCATGCAGGGTTTATGCAGTGCTGAGGACCAAACCCAGGGCTTTGTGTATGCTAGGCTAACATTCTATCCACTGAACTATATTCCTGGCTGGATGAGACCTTTTATTCTCTTTAAAGTGTTTGTATGTGGGACTGGAGAGATGGCTCAGTGGTTAAGAGCATGTATTGCTCTTCCAGAGGACACAAGTTCAATTCTCAACACTCACATCAGGCGGCTAACAACCATCTGTAATTCCAGCCCCAGGAGATCTGACACCTCTCAGCTCAGTGGGCTCCAGCATTAATGAGCACATACACAGAGAGACACACAAGCACACATAAACACATGCTTAAATATGTATGTCTACCTCTGCTAAAGTGAACCATGAGTCCTATGATCCAGGGATGTGAAGAAAGGGACTGATCAAGGTCTCCTGTCTGCTAACTTCTACAGCAGAAATAATGTATTAAGGTTTGGGGTCAAGAAGTATATCAATTATAAAGCTTCTAGCCTCTTCCAAATGAGACAGAGCCCAAACATTTGCTTGTTCTTGTTTTTGAGACAAGGTTTCATGTAGCCCAGGCTGGTCTTAAACTCCCCCCGATCCTCCTGCCTTCACCTCCAAGCACTGGGATTACAGGCATGCACTACCATGTACTGCTTTCAGCCCAGTCTTTCAGATACTTCTCAGTATTCTGGTGGTGTTTTGTTTTTCTTTTTGAAGGCAGTGTCTCACTGTGGCTCTGATTGGGATAGGATGCTTCTGCTTCAGCTCTGAGTGCAAGGCTTATTACAGGCTTTATACCTTCCTATTTTCTTCACTTCTGAATTAAGCCGACTTCTTATTCAAAGCCTGGGTGAGCTACTTTATTTGGGGGAACAGTAAGTTACCTCCACAACTGATTGGCTGCCATCTGGATTGATCCGGAAAGATCCCATCTGAATGGTCTTCTTGGGATCCACCTGGGCAATTTCCCACTCTAGTTCATCCACCAGAGCCCTGCAAGCTGGTGCCGAGGGAGAGAACAGGGATGGGGGTGGGAAGAATGGGATCAACCCAGGGATTTATATTCATCTTTGTCCCATGCCTTGGATCTTATGCCTCCCAAGTGTCGGCGTCCTCCCACTTCTCTGTCTTTGTGCTTTTACCTCCACAGTGTAGATCCTGGCTCCTTCGAGACCAGGCAGTTCCGAGCAGGACCCCAAGAAGTAGGGCCAACCAACCCCAGCCTTTCATCTTTATCTTAAAGGGGTTGCTCCACCTGGGTTCGTGTGAAAATAAAACACAGGTGTGAGGCGACCACTCCATGTCCCCCATGCCTTCCACCCTTCAGGCCCAAGGCCTTCAAAGCCTCGGGGTAACCCCTAACTATTTTCCAGGAAAAGGCTAGGTTACAAGGCCACATCTCTGCGTCGGTGCACTCCAGGGCACGGAAATCCCTGGGCGGTGGGGGGAGGGGAAGTGAGAGCTCAGGAAGAGTTCCAGAAACCATACAGTTCACAGGTGAGGCCCCGAATACTGATACTTTAACATTCGACACTAAAGGGCCCACAGGGCTATGTGATGGCTATGGGACAGGGATTGTCAATTATGCAGGGATTACAGGCAGAAGGTGCTGCCAGAAAGGAACCGGGAGGCCTGCGAGAACGCTCACTTCCTAGGGCCTACTGGACTCTGCAACTAGGGGTTTCCGAATCCCCACCTCCAGCCCGTTAGTGGTTCCCCGAGCAGACCAGCCCCTCTCTAAGGACTCCGCTGCCGATCCACTCCCACCCTCAGCACGCACGCCCAAGGCATCGGCCGCCGCCTCCGTCCCACCTCGGCTCCCAGGGCCGCTGGACTCTCACTTTGTTCCTGAGGCTCGCAACCCTGGCAGCAGGCTGGGGGAGCCGGGCTGTCCCAGCCTCTCCGGAGCGCCTCGGCGCCCTCCAGGCTCGGGGTGTCCCAGCTACTGCCTGACCTAACTGCCCGCTCCCAGCCGGGCACCCCAAGAGGGACCTGCTGCTGCCGCTCAAGCCCCCACCAGAAGCCCGCTCCCACAACCTCTCGCGCGAACAGGCAGCTTAGGAGTGCCTCAGAGACCGCGAGGACCCCGCGGATGGCCGAAGGACCCAGAGTTGCGTGGCGAATAGTTCCACGTGACCGCCCGGGGTGGCCAAAGAATGGGAACAGCCTAAGGTGAGGACCCAGGCCAAGTGGGTGCAGGAGGACAGTGTATCAGCCCAGGTGGGCTAGGACCCAGAAAGATGCGGTTAGTGGGTAGGAAGCCCAGTTTTCACTATACAAGGGCTTTCATCACGTGGGATACTACAGTTCCCAGGAAGCACTACGGCAGATTGACAGTTGCTACAAGTCTTTTTGCTCTATTAATATCTTATGCTAATTAATAAAATTATAGTTATGTGAGTATAGGAAAAAACATTTTTGTATTATCGGCCTTTTCTGTCGTCCTCTGGGGTTCTTGGAAGTTGGATATTAGCCCTTAGCCTGTGCATTTCCCAGGGCAATTTCCCCCTCAGAATTCCCAGCACATCACTGGTACTGTTAGGGGTTTTTTGAGGAAGGGTCTTACTATGTAACCCAGAATGGCCATGAAGTTAACTCTGCAACCCAGGCTGGTCTTGATCTCACTGTGGTTCTATCTCACCCTCTTGACTGGACTGCTGAGATTACAGGCTGCCTCTACGGGGCTTAAGATAAATAACTGGGGGGACACGACTGGAGAGATAGCCCAGCAGTTAAGAGCACTTGCTGCTCTTGCAGAGAACCTGGGTTCAATTCCCAACACCCACATGGTGGCTAACAACCTTCTGTAACTGCAGTCCCAGTGGATCTGACACCCTCTTCTGATCGCTGGGGGCATTGCATGACTCGGGAGCACTTACATGCAGGCAATACACTCATACACATAAAATAAAAATAAATAATTTGGGGGGGACTGGAGAGATGGCTCAACAGTTAAGAGCACTGACACCACCACATGGTGGCTACGAACAGTCCTTAACTCCAGTTCCAGGGGAATCTGAAGCCCTCTTCTGACCTCTATGGCATTGCACATAAGTGCACTCACATACATGCAGGCAATACACTTCTACACATAAAATAAAAATAATAAATTTTAAAAAAAGAAAATAATTTCTTACAAAAAGATAAACTGGGACCTGTAGTTAGTTTGTGTGCTTAGGGTACTAGGCAACTATAGCAAAGAGCTAGCACTATCCAAGGAAAAACAATTATACTGTAGCCATTAATTCTGGACTCCAGAACCTTACCTTCATTTCTAGGTGTGGATCTGAACAGTTTTAGTTTTTCATTGTTAGGTTAAGTCAAAACAAAGAAAAGAGGGCTGAAGTCAAGAGAACCCCACACAAGCAGTTTCCTAATGAGACAGACAAAAATATTTTTGTCTTTATTTTATAAAACATGCTGTTTTAAGCAAAAATAAAAAAAAAATAAAAACTCAAAAAAAGAAGGTGTGGAAGACAGATACTTCCCAGCTGTCAGCAGGAATGAAGACAGCAACCTGCTTCCTCCAGGACACGGAGTCCCCTTTGGCAATGTTGTTGGCAATACTGGCTTGTTTGGTCTATCATGATTCTACATGCTGTTTCCTCCAGATACCATCCTTCAAGCAGTTGGAGACTTGAGCTGCCTGAAGCTCCTGTTGTACCCTGTCACTGTCCAGGACTTCAGTCCCTAGCCAGCAATGGACTGAGAATTTGGATTCCAAGAGATTTTTGCCTAATTGCCCAGGATATTTAGTAAGAATACCAATTACTCTGCATCTGGATCAATTTAGACTTTGTTTCTAGCCCATTGTTTTGCAAAGAATAAAGAAGGAATCTGGTTCCTAGAACCTTTGCAACAGTTCCAATTCTATTAATAGCACCATCTGTAGACTGTGAGCAGGTCCAACTTTGGAAGTGGACAAGGTAAAGCCAACCTGGGAAGCCATTTTTTCAGATCTGGGGTCACAGAACCTCAAAAGGAAAGGGCAGGTCATAGTGCCAGCACTGAGGAGAAGACAGCTGCATCTGTCAAAGACAAAATCAGTGAGACAAAGGGTGACTGAAAGCAGCTGGGATACCTCCTGTGAAAGGAAAATGTGAGAAAAGAGGGCATGGCATGGATCACACATTTCAGAATTGGGGAAGAGATGTTAGACCAGTGGACAATTTCAAAAATAAAGTCTATTTCATTGACTTGTGATTTGTAAACTGTTAAATACTTCATGAGTAGAAAATGGGAGTATTATCATTAAGGTGGTCTGTATGATTTCTATGTATGCAATCAAAACCAGTTGCCCTTGTCCCATCCCAAGCCTTACTCTTGGGACTTGTCTGGTTCTCAGGCTCAGGAACCTTCCAGTCCATCTTTCGGCCCTTTTCATAGAGACCCTTGAGTACCTTGTGGAAGGACTCAGGCTCAGTACCATTCTTGCTCAGCTCCAGATACTTTCGGTAGAGCTGAAGGGCTGTGCGGGCATCCTCAATACTGTCATGTGTCTCCCCTTGAATCTTCAGGTCTGGGGTAAAGAGAATAGTTTAGGACCTCACAATGGAGGTACCCCTTCTCTTATCCTGACTCCCAGAAAAATCCCCCTACATGTGTTCTTACTACCATCCAAACCCCCAGAAAACATCTTTTTAGTGTGCAGTAGCTAACTGAACTCACTGGTAGAAAAAAAAAATTAGTAAGCTACTAACTCAGGTCCCTTCTTCTCATTCTGTCCCCCGAAATGTTTCCTTTTTTTTGAGACAAGGTCTCACGATATTGCCCCAGGCTGGCTTCACACTTACGTAGGCTGGTCTGGAGCTTACAGTCCTGCCTTAGCCTCCTCACGTGTTCTATTTTTTTTTTTTTTTTAACAGAGTTACATGTAGCCCATGCTGACCTCAAAAGTATTATGTAGTTGAGGGTAACCTTGAACTTCTGATCCTTTTGCCTCTGCCTCCCAAGTTCTCTGATTATAGGCATGTACTACCATACCCACTTTTATATGGTGTTAGGGATTGAAATCAGGGCTTCATACATGCTAGGCAAGCACGCTCTCAGTTGAACTACATTCTCAGCACCCTAATGTTTTCTACTCTTTTTCTGTTTGTTTCTTTTGAGACAGGGTCTCTCTTTAGCCCCAGCTGGCCTAGAACTCACTATGTAGACGAGGATGACCTTGAACTCACAAAGATCTGCCTGCCTCTGACTCCCAAGTGCTGGGATTAAAACATGTGCCACACTGGCATGTTTTCTACTCGTAATCAAAATCACAAAGGCCTACAAGATAGAGTAACTCACCTAAAAAGTACCAAGCAAGAAATCGTAGGGAAATCATTCGTTTTCGGGGCATGTGGAACAGATACACAGTGTCAAGGACTTGGTCCTTGGGCACCTGGCAGGGATCCAAAGAGCAGGAAACTTAAGATAGGTGATCCATAATTTCCTGTTCTCTAAAAACAATATATATCCTGAGAAGCCCACCCTCAAAAGTAACTCCTGAATAAGCCCTGCCCAAACCATGAGGTTGATGACCCGGAAATCCTTCTGCAGACCATGACCAACAAACTTGACTCCAATATCAATGAGAAAACGAAGCTTTAAGTAGGTAGACTTGAGAGTTGTGAGGTGCTTGGAGGAAATTTTGGCATCAAGGTCTCCTGGTTTTATCCCCGAGTACTGAGTCAGGTAATCCACTACCTAGGAATAGAGAAAAGGACAAATCACTTAGGATGTGAGGAAGTGTACTCTCTCCCTACCACTCTTCCCTGGGTTCTCAAGCACTGTATATAAGCATAGATCAGTTTCACTGGCACATCCATATCCTAATACCTGTTCCTGGGTGGAGATGTAGTCATCAATGAAGGGAATACCCTCATTGGGTCCCTGGCCCCGAACACAGGTGATTCTTGCTACTGACATCTGGCTTGGTTTAATGGTAGACTTGGTACCATCACTTCGTAACTCTGCTTCTTCCTATGTCATAAGAGTTAATAAGGATACCAGAGAAATGCTTACAACCCCTAAATTCTCAGATTTCTGTTCCCATGCCCCATCCTTTTGGTCTTAGTCACCTCATTAAGTGTGACAAACTCAGCATCAAGACCCACCAGGTCCCCAACCTGTGGCATCTCATTCAGCATCAGTGGAATAAAGGTAGTGTGTGTTTTCCGCTGCTTCCGTGCCAGTGAGGCTTCAGCCAGAAGCACACTAGCCTCAATAGGGTTCTTGACTGGAATAGAGAATATAAAGAAAAGAAGGCTGGGGGTAGGGAAATGACCCCAGGATTGCCGCTTAGAGGCTGTGGATCTACACTGTGATCCTTCAAAACCTAAGCATCTGGTTAAAAAGAATGTATCCGAGCCAACAAGATGGCTCAGCAAGTAAAGGCACTTACCACCAAAGCTGATCACCTGAGTTTGATCCCCAGAATCCACATGGTAGAAGGAGAGAACCAACTCCCACAAACCATCTTCTGATTTCCACACATGTTCCATGGCATTCACACACACACTGCACAATAAAAATCTAATAAAAATTTTTTAGGGGGCTGGAGAGATGGCTCGGTGGTTAGGAGCATTAGGTGTTCTTCTAGAAGACCCAGGTTCAGTTCTCAGCACCCACATGGTGGCTAACAATCATCTCTAACTTCAGTTCCAGGGGATCTGATGCTCTTTTCTGGCCTCTGCAGGTACTGTATGACATGGGTGCACTTAACATACATACAGGCAAAACACTCATACATAAAATAAAAATAAATAAAAAGGATGTATCTGGTAACAGAACAGGTAGAGCAGATCAAATCCAAAAATTATCAAGAAATATACCAAGCAAAAGCTAGAAATGATGGAAAAGACAAAATAAAATCTTCCCTTTGAACCTAACCTTAGAAAAATCCTGAAAAACAAAGTTACAGAGAAACTCTTGTTTAATAATTGGAACTTTAAGGAACTTGTCCCCATAAGAAGAGATATTCATTTAAAGATAAGAATGGTTAGAACTGGGGCAACTAGACAGACCCACACAAACATGAAAGAAGAGCACTGACTCCACAGAGTTGCCCCATGGCTTCTAACACACACACACATAGAATTTGAAAATAAAAAAAAGATAGTCACTTGGGGATAAGAATGGTTAGAATCAAAATCATAGCCTAAGCCATTTTTATCAAAATCCCCCCTTCTTTCCTCATTTCATCCTCAGAATTTCCAGCTTCTAGATTATTCATTTCTTTTGCTTTTGTTTTTTTTTTTTTTGAAATAGGTCTCACTCTAAAGCCCAGATTGGACTTGAACTCACTATGTAGTGAATGGCATGCAAGCATGAGCCAGTATACCCGGCCAGCTTCTAAATTCAAGATCTGATAAGCAGGAATCTCTTTTGTATCCCTGGAAGTATCATAACCAGTTACTAATCCTGAATACTACAAAGCTATTTCTCAGATTTTTTTCCCTGAAGCCCAATTTAAACTGCCTACACCCTTGGGTCTACTTCATATCACTTACTGTTCAGGCTGTATCTAGAATTGAGATTCCTTTTGACATAATAAAGGATAGCAGGTACTTTCCAATTCATGTCAAACTGCACAGCTTCATGCTAGAGAAGACAAAAGACAAGGGCTGGGGGTAAGTCAGTGGTTGACTGTTTGCCTATCATACACAAAGCCCTTGGTTTAATCCCAGCACTGCCTCATCCTCCCAAAAAAAAAAAAAAAGAGGGGCTGGAGAGATGGCTTAGTGTATGAGTACTTCCTGTTCTTCCAGAGGTCTCAGATTCAGTTACCAGCACCCACATAGCAGCTAACAACCTTCAGTTCCAGAAAATCTGATGCCCTCTTCTAACCTCTGCAGGCAAAACACTCGTACACATAAAATTAAAAAATTTAGGGACTGGAGAGATGGCTCAGCAGTTAGGAGCACTGACTGCTCTTGTAGAGGACCCGGGTTCGATTCCCAGCACCCACATGGCAGCTACAAACCATCCTTAACTCCAGTTCCAGGGGAATCCGAAGCCCTCTTCTGACATCCTCAGCACTGCACAACACGGGTGCACTCACACACATGCAGGCAATACACTCATACACATAAAATAAAAAAACAAAATTTAAAAATTAATAAAAAAAGTGCTTATAGAATATATATAGATGTCCTCTTTGCCTTTTCTCCAAGTCAGACAGAGGCCAGGATCCAGGTGCTATTTTTCCTCAGCTTTCCAAATACCATTTATTCTCAAAGATCCTTCACCCCCTCCCCCCATCTTGAATATGCCTAGCATTCAATAGGGCCCTGAGGATAAGGACACTAACAAGGGAGGGGTTGAGGAATGAAAGGGGAAATGGAGCTGGTAATATGTACTTGTAATCCATGCACACAGGAGGACCATCCCAAGTTCAAGGCTACCTTAGGTTACATAGTAAATTCAAGAACAACCTGGGCTGCATAGCAAACCCTGTAAAACTCCCTCCCCAATAAAGATGAAAAAAATAGAAAAAAAGAAAGGAAGAAGAAATGGAGCATGTTGCAACTCACCTTATCAATAGGTTCAATAAGGAAGTCATTGAAGAGATACCACTGCTGGTGAGTAACGCCCTGTGCACATAGAGAGGCGGGTGATGCAAAATCATTGGTTTACTTGCTAGGAACTCAGGGACAGACCTGCGACTACATTGTAGTCATCTCCAGGAATGTCCTTGCCCTGTGCCATCTTACTCACCTCCTTGCGCTGGTGGTAGGTCTCTCCAACTTTGATGTGAGCCACCAGGCTGCCCCCTGTTCGTGAGTCCAGGATGTGCACCACAGTAGCCATCAAGTCATACACATAGACACCATGCTCCTCCTCTGCCCTGGCTGGGCCCCACTGTGAGGGGGGGTGGTACCCAGGCTGCTAAGCTAAGTTTAAGGATGGGGGGGTAGGGGTGGGGATAAAGGACAGGGAGTACTGGGTATGGGAAACCAGGGTAGATTATCTCCATCCTAGCC